GTGGCGCATGTGTTTGGATTTTAGCCTGCTGACCGGCAGAAGCTTTCGATCTAACAATCCAGTGCGCCATAGCAGCACAAGTCTGCCAGCTAGTTGCACATGTGTGCTGTGCAATTTGTGCCAGTCTGGCTTGGTGGGTAGTAGTAGCCGTGTTATGGCTGCCGATATCGTGCCGACATCGGAAAAGGAAAAGGGAGAAACGGAGGCAGCGCCAAGCAATCACGAAATTTGCTGATGTGGTACGTGTGGAAAAGGAAAGGAGTGCAGGTAACAGCAGGCGAGCTTAAAATGGCATAGAATCTCAATGGCCAAGATGATGCCTGCTTGTTCAGGTGGAATGGGAGGCGAACCTGATCTTCTTAGCTGAGAATTTTGCGCATTTAGCTAATCAGTAGCCAATTGGTCAGAACTTCGCACAAAGTGCATGCAAAAAACGCAGCTTCACCCAATTGCAGAAAGATTGGCAGCAAACGTCCAAGAAGGTGTGTCGTGAACTCGGCAGCCGGTAGGACGATCCAATTGCAGCAGCTGCCGGCGAAGCGTGACTAGTTGCTTGGAAAGTTGTAGTGGTGGTGTGATATTAGTAGTGGATGCTAGGGATGATGAGGAGCGGTGGCAACGACCGAGCATGCATCTTCTTTCTTCTGACTCTTCCTCCTCTCGGATCTGCTTTCTTCTACTATTCCCTTCTTTCTGCTGCAAGATCCAGCACTGGGATAAGGCAAAGAGGGATTCATTATAGAGAGGATGGTTTCAGGCTAAAGTTTCAGGACAAATCTGGAGTATCATTTTGTTTTGAAAAAGTGGTGCTGGCCGTTTGGGGGCGTGGAAGGAAGAGCCAGCGCTGGGATAGCACAAAGAGGGAGGCAATAGAGGGAGAATAGTTTCAGGTGCTGAAAAAGTGCCCCTGGATGGTAGTGGAGCCGGGTGTAGCGAGATGAGAATGCTTTCTTCTGGTTGCTTGGAATGGCTTGGCAGAGGTACTCATGCCGGCTGCCGTCCGTATTCATGCGCGTAGAACTTGCGGCGGCAGAGGGAGGGAGGGTATGAATGAGCGGCGAGGGAGGGAGGGAGGAAGCCGCGGACTGAGCCGAAGCAGATGCATCATTGCAAACTAAGAGTTTGAACGCTGTGCTATCAGACTGTTGCTGTTTGGATCAAGGAGACTGTTTCCCGTCAAGCCAGTCGAACCTTTAAATCGTGCAGCCTGATAAGTGGGTACAGGTTAAATGCTTGTGCTGGAATCATGCAACACAAGGACACAGAGTTTTGCCCAGCAAGCAGTAACAAGGAGTAGGAGCTTGTCTTGGAAATAGTAAAGAGCAAGGTTTCAAGGAATATTGGTGCTTGTTCCTGACACAGGACGATGGCTGATGCCGATGGTGGCAGGGAGCTGGGGCGTATTGTATCCTTAGTGAAAGATATTACTGATGCAGGCACACTGGAAGAAGAGCTGTGGAAGTTGCCGCTTCGGAGCACAAAATCATTGTCTTTGATAGATTTAACCAAACGGCTACATGTGCCCCTAGAGATGAAGAAACTAAACAAAGAAGCTGTCGTGAACGCAATCTTGCTGCATCACTGGCAGAAAGAAGTCTTAGAGCATCATGACCGGGAGCTGGTAGCCGCGAAGCTGGAGAAACTGCCGCTTAAGGGCACGGTCTCTTTGAAGACCTTGGCACAGACTCATGGCATTGTGAACATAGCAAGAGCTTCCAAAGACACGCTTATCCAGAAGTTGATAGCCAAACCAGAGGGGACGCGCCAAGGGGATGTAGCCTGTGAAGAAATAAAGCATTGGATGGTGGATTTGCACGGAAGCGAGCTGTGGCAGCGGCTCAATGGTTGTGATGTTCGGGCGTTGGAGAATACCGTGTCAGAGTTGACTGCCTCAAAGATCTCGAGCTTAAAGAAAAAGCGTCTGGTGGAGGAATTGTTTCGTCATGCTGAAGATCTGAAACGTGGCTTGCCTTGGGTGGAGAAATGGATCGCAGAAGTGGTGGGCGCTGTTGAGATGTTTCAACGAGTGCATGGTGGCGATATGCCAAAGAGGGTGCATCGGAGGAGAGGGCCGACGACGGATGAAGACAAATTGGCACAGCGTTGGCGCAAACTGGTGAACCGGAAGAAAGATTCCGAATTGTCTGCGACGGAGGTAGAGTATGTCGAAGCTGTTTTGGGCAAAAATGCATGGGACGCCCAACAATGTGTGGAGGACTATCTGCCAGGACAGCCTGTGTTTGCATGTGTTGGACCTGAGAGTTTATAGTCTATAGATGGGGTCGAAAAAATGATAGTATATGTTACAATGTTGTGACGTTTTGTCTTGGAAGTGTCACAGGGCAGCTTCGGTGGTTATGCCCGTGTTGTCGAGGCGGAGACTTTGCGCCAGATGTGGCCAGCAGATACGATTTCAGGCAAGCTGAGGTGTCCGTATTGGGCCCTGTTTCCTGCTACTTGTGTGGGTGTAACGTCGATAGCGAAGAAGGGTTGGCGGAACACCTGAAAAATCATTTGCAGCATGGAGCTCAGGCACCAGAGCGGTTGCTCGAAGAGTATCGCAAAAGAGTTCTTTTTCATGAAGAATCCGAAGGGCCTTTTCCAGTGAGTGGCGCAGAAGTACGCCGAGCCGCATCCAACCATGCTTGGCAATCGTCGCACAGTTACTGCGGCGGTGATGGAGCTGCCACCTATGTCAAAAAAGCTACACTAGGAGAAGAGCGGGGCCTGGGCAGTTGCGCGGTCTGCGCGCAAACAAGATGGAAAGAAGAGTTGGCTGATTTTTATTTATTTGTCAAACCCACGGACAACGTGGAGTTGGATGAGGAGGATCCAGAAGGTACTGTTGAGACGGAGAATGGTCTGTCGCACGGAGTGAGAAGGGACCAAGTTCGCAAAGTGAATGAGCTCTTGAGTGCTGATGAGTACAGGAAGCGGTGGCCCAAAATACCTCTGTCGCAAATCCGTGGCACTAGTGTTAAGCATCCTTTCTTGGAAGATGCATGGTGGTTGTTGGATACGAAGGTTTTGACGGATAGTCTGACCGAGGAGCATGAGGTGCGTTTGGATGCACGGGGCCAGTCGCCGCCCGTCAAGGCTTGCTGGGTTTGCGCGTATCACTTGCGACAGCGCAATGTCTCTATGCCACCTTGTGCACTTGCAAACGATAATTTGATGCTGCGACCACCTGGTGTCTTTCAAGATGAGCGCGGCAATCCTTTGTCAGATGCTACTTTGCTGCTGCTTGCGCTGGCGAGAGCTGTTGTGATCAAAGAAGTTGCGGAGCCCTTGCGGGAAGTTGCCAGGGAGGAGCAACAGGAGGTGCTGAAAGGCAACACTATAGCCCTACCGCAGGCAGATTGCCGTGTACTTGTCACACAGAAATTGCCAGCAAGCGAAGAGATACTGCGACCGTTTTTGCAGGAGCATTTGGCTGTGGTGTTTTGTGGAAAAGATGTGAGTGAAGCTTCTAGCTTTCCTAAGCTTGAGGTGGACTGGGAGAAATATTCCCGTGCTGTGCGCTTTTTGATTGCTCACAACCCAGAATATGAAAAGGTGGAGCTGGACGAAGAGGCTGCAAAGATTATGTTTCAGGGATGTGGAATTCCAAATGTGATCCGAGAACTCATTACCAAGCTGAATGTGGACAGTGGCTTTGTGCAGCCGGAGGGTGCAGCTGCTGAAGCTTGGCGACGGATCATTGCGAAATCATAGTGATGTTGTTTCAGTTCCCTCTGATCGCGGTTGCTTGTTTGTACCTGTTGTAATATTGGTAACTGTATTAAGAGAGTCCAGTCTGATGGATAAATGTGTTTCAATGGATATTTTGCACAAGGAGCCATCTGAAGAAGACCGTGATGACGGCGGGAAAGCGCAGGAAGAAGAGCTTCCTGCACAGGCGTATGCCGTTGATATGGCAAAGCCCGACAAGTCGGATCCGATCGAATTTTTGCAGGTTTTGGCTGCGAAGGTGGACACTTTGGTTCGGAGAATGACTGCAACAGAGGATGGAGATGAACCCGGGCCTCAGCGAGAGCTTGTTGAGTTGCAAGCGCTTGCTGCCGACATGGGAGATGAAGATTTTTTTCGTTGCTTGAGAAAAAACATGGAAAACCTGTTTGAAAGCAAGCAAGCCGCTGTTGTGGTTCCGACCGGAGGGCAACCCTTGAAATTTTGGGAATCGGCTTTTTGGGTCAAGCAATTCCCGGATTTGTTTTGCTATGGAGACGGTGCTTATGGCTTGAACCGTCGGAAATTCATGTCATTGCAGGAATGGGGTGCGATGATGATGTGTCGAACCGAACTGCAATATATGCCTGTGGAGGAGCCGGTTGATGTCTGTTGTAGTGTTGAAGGCGAGGGGCGGCCGCAGTGTGACTGCCCGGAATGTGCCAATGGTGGGATGGTTCGAGCAAAAACGGCACAGCCCCGATGGTCCGCCAATACGGCCTTTCGCTTCGTAGTCTACGACTGCTGGCGTAGATCTGAAATTATGAAAAAAGCTCGGATGCACGTGAGAAAGAAAGGTTTCCAACAGAATTTGAAATTGGTCGCCCGAACTTCAGCGGAGCATCTTCGATCGGCGTTGTCTGCCTTGGGAGCGACGAGCAGCTTGCATCAACTCGCAAGGGATGATAGAGTGGAGCCAGCTTTGCGCAGAGCTGTCAAGGCGCGGTGTTGTTTCAAGGCTTGGTTTTCGTGAGTTTGCACAAAGGTTAAGTGCCATGGTGGGCTAAGATCTTAGGATGGCCACCCGACAGGAATTGATTATTTTCAGCGCTGATGTGGTGGGCTCGGAGGGGTCGAGGGTGAGCTTGAGGTACCAAATCATGGGCACTATGTTGCGATATGGCCCTGTCGGTGCTTTCGTGACTCCGAATGTCAATGATTTGGGGAACCCATTAGTGGTCAAGATACACAGACAAAGCAATGGCGCGGAGGCAGAGGAACACTATGTGAACTTGCTGGAAGATACTCCAGATGTCCCTTCAAAGCGAGAAATGCTTCTCATGATCGCCAAGGACCCTATGAGCCAGACTAGGTTTTTTATTTTCTGTTACCAGTTATTCATGATGCATGTGTTGGGAGTAGGGCCCGTGGACAACATGCTCCGTCACAATGGGCACAAGGATGGGACACTGTACCCTGATGGCAGAGCTGCCAATCTATGGTCTGGGGGCAGTTGCAGCGTGGCCAGTGCTCATTTTCCTATCGAAGAACAGGGAAGGAGATCCAATCATGGCCATGGACTTATAATATTCAACAGCAGGCAGAAAATTGACTGGCTACGGGAGTTGCTGAAGGGCACGACGGAAGAAGGTCGTATGAAGCTTCGTGCATGGCGGGACAGAGTCATTCTTGCTGTGGAAAGCATGCAGACAACGTGCGTGGCCTCAGTGCCCCTGGTGCTGGCCCGATCACCGATGGATATTGAGTTTGACTTGCAATCGCCAGGGTACTCGGAGAAACAACGTGCAGCAGACAAATTTGATGGCAAGGCCGAACTAGATGTGCGGGAACCCGGGAAGAGGAGGCGGGGTAAGAGCATGGTTATTGTTACCATGCAGTCGGTCAAAAGATTGAAATTTATTTGAGTTGATGTTGGACGGGGCTGTTTTTCTTTGAAGGTGTCCGCTAGATAGCTTGTTCAAACTGGAGCATTGTTCGGCGTCAGAGACTTATTGAGTATTAGATTCGTTGGCTTGTGTCCTGTGCGCAGGCTGTATATTGCTACCTGCCCCAAGTTGGGAAGAATTGGCGAGGCGGAGACGAACGCTACAAATGATGTGAATAATATAGGCCGTTTGAGAAGGGATTGCCGGCAGACAGGAGCGGTGTTGTCGATGTGCCCACAGTACTTGAGGTCACCGCAAGAGAGCGTTGGTTGCTGTCACGGTGCGTGCCTACGAAAGCAAGCCCTTTGGTCTGCGTTGAAAGAAAGCAGAGTTGCGGCGGAGAAAGACGAGAGGTCTTACATAGCTGATTTTGCTGCAGATTCCGCCCGAATTGTGGAGCAAGCAGGAATTCACGCTCATACTGCGTCATGTTACAAGTATGAAAGCGGACGTGAGCAGGATGGCAAGCCAGAACATTGCCGCTTTGGGTACGTCCATTTTGTGACTTTGTGGTGTTGGGCCATTGTTTTGTGCCGTGGCAAGCAGGTGAAAGCAGCCGTGCAGCGAGTGTTTGCAAGATTTGGCAAGGAGCCAGTACTTCCCAAAGGGTACATGCCTACACCTTTCGAAAAAGAACATGGCATTGCGGCAACGTTGGACATGTTTGCCCCACACCATCCGGGACTGGGAAGTCAGATCAATGCCAAAGAAAGCTTGGATCGACCTGGCCGCATTCAGACGGTGCGTGTGCATCCAAGAGAGACATCCACCTTGGTGAGCGGAATTGTCTCCCATAGGGGCAACTTGGACTATCAGGACTTGCGGACTGTCCTGGACGATGCCGATGATGACAACGTTCCGTTGCCGCCCGAAATCAAGGTGCATCGCCAAGGCCCGTTGCAGCCCTGCCGTTCGTTGCTAGTGAACGGAGGTGTCACAATGCCCCAAGCCTATACTGTCCGTTTCCTCGGGAGCTGCTTGCAAAAAGAAGAGGTGAAGGCCTTGATGGTTGCTACCCGTACTTTCTATTGGATGTTGGAACCTAGAGCTGGAGTGGCTGAAATGCCACGGGTGGGCGACCGGCAGCGTGATGCAAGCTGGAAGATTTTTTCCAGAGCTGTGGTTGACGGCATTGTTTCGGCAATGCGAAGTGCAGTGCAGATTAGCTTCTACATTTGTGACTACTCCACTAAACCTAATGTGACATCGGGCCGCGTTTTGCAGTACATGCACAAAGGAATGCAACGGTTGGAGGCAGAACTGCAGGAGAAAGAGTGCGTGCAGAAAGTGTTGGAGCTCGAGGCTGCTGGTTTCTTGGATGATCCTGGCCGATTGCCTTCCGGTGTGCAAACTTTGGAAGGTAAGAATTTGTCTGAGGCCGAAAAAAGGCAAGAGAAGGTGAGACGCATTCTGATCCGCTTGTGGAGCGCTGCAAACTATTCTTATTTGAAAGGCGCTTCGTTGCAGCTAGTGCATCTACTAACGCGCAGAGAAGCTTTCAGAACTCACAAGTATTGGCAGGTTCTGACGAAAAGATTAATTTGGGCAGGACTGTTTTCATGTTGGCTGGCTTTGCCGGTTGCCCAAAACAGGCGTTCAAAAAATAGGTGTGATAAACTATTCAAAGTGCTGGTAATTGTCAAGTGTTTGGTGGCTTATGGATCTTGTGTCAATATCTCTGACCCTGTGTCTCAAAGGACATGAAGCTTTGCGAAGAGAAGAAACCAAAACCATGGAAGTAGGAGAGACAGAGGAAGACGTGGCCCTAACCCTGATCGAAGTGGAGCAAGCGGATGGGAAGTATAGTGTCCAAGTGAGCAACGATGCATTTGTCGACGATTGGTACCACCGTGGCCCAGACCTTGCTTGGATGAGCCATTATCTCTACGCGATGTATGTCAGGGTTGTGCCGAAATCTGATGGCCTGCGCTTTCAATGGAGCTTTGCCTTTGTGCACCATTACAAGAAATATGCTGGCTTCGTACAGGTGCTCGAACCATCTCCACGAGTTCCTTACATGGTTGGCTTCACCATGCCCACGAGAAGCGCGGATCCTGCCACGAATGCTTTGTATCATCTGTGCTTGATGAAGCCGAGCAGAGTGTGCAAAGGGTGTTGCGAAGATGTGGCTTGGCTAGCAGGTCATGTGTTGTCATCTGTGGCTGGGTCACAGCAAGGCATACTCTTTGGATACACAAAGCCTGCCGGGCAAGCTCAGCCTTCCAGGGGCGAGCGACGTTTCACAGAAGCGTGGAAAGCTTGGGAGGCATTGCAACTGACCCGAGCAGAGCGTGCTTGGGCAAAGTTGAAACTGGAGCGTCGTGTGGGCGTTCTGGATGATGTGGCGCCATTCCGAGAATGGTATGTGCCTGGTTGCAACAGAAAGACCATTGTGCAGTCATCATGGCTTTTGCCTTGGTTGCGAGGCGGTTTTCGGCATTGCTATAAAGGTCCCTGGGGACAAAAGAGGAGGACGCGATCCGACATCAATCCGATATACAGCAAGGCGCAATTTGTCAAGCTGCATCCCACAAGTGTGGGGGTACTGCCAGCATTGCCACATGTGGTCGCAGTTTGCATTCTTCGTTTTGCTGGGAATGTGAAAGGTGAAGGGAATGAAGATGTGGTTATAGCAGACACACTTGATGCCCAGGACAAGGCTGCGTCAAGTTGCAGAACAGATGCCCAGAAGACGGTGGTCAGAACAGGCACCGGGGTTCATGTGAACCAATTGTTTCCCGAAGAGTTTGGTGCCAGCATCACAGCAGAGGTGTCATGGAATATGGATTTGCTTGCTGAAGCTCGCAAAAGACCACGCCCAAATGCAGTCGCTGTCAGCAACGAAGACGAAGATGATGATGCGGGTGGAGCTGTCGTGGGAAAACTGTTGGCCGCTGAAGGAGAAACCCCGGGCGGAGAAGCAGGAGATGATTATGATGTTGTAGTGGAGCAGCCATATTCCGAGGAAAAAGGCTTACAGTATAAACCGCACCTGGAAATACAAGATTGCGATGTCCTTGAGATTGCTCACAGACTAGATGGCTGGAGAGACGGGCGAGGCGCGGCGTCAAACGTTGTATAGGAGGTCGCGGGGCTAGCGGCTAGTGCGTTGCATTCAGTTTGTGTTGTGTGCATTCAGGTTGTTGAGAATTATTGTCGTTGGATGTGTTTGTCAGGTCAAAAAGACAATGTCTTGAAGTTTTTCCAGAACTTTCGCGATTTTTACGCTGAAGAGTTAAAGGCAGCATGCCCTTGCGAGATGAGGATGCAAAAACAGTTCTGTGGTACAGATGGCATGAGTTTGGCAGACTGGATTTCACAGCGAAATCAAATGCTCCGAGCACAGAAAGAGTTGAAGAATAACCGTGAGAAGACAGGCCCAGGCGGTGGAGAATCTGAATCGGAAGATGATATACAGAGTCGTGTGATTACCAGTGAAACAGATGTGCCGAAAATTCATGTAGTATTCACTTTCGAAAATGCCATTGAATCGCCAGCTGAGATGGCACGCCGGTTGGCGTGTCAAAGTGGGGCAGCTTGGGACAGACAGCAATATGAAATGATCATTTGTTGCGTGTGGCCTTTGCACCGGGTCTGGGAATATGCTCTCACAGAGCGTCGTCTGAAGGAGTGGAATTCTGTGGAAGGCCGCTTACAACTCATCCAGGATGCGCAGGTTCCACCTGTCCGTGTATTCGCACATGGAGCTGGCGGGTCAGGGAAAACTTATTGCTTGACTAAAGTTGTCATGGCCGTTTTTCAGTGGTTTATGCCAGGGCAATGTCGTAAGCAAGCTTCCACCAACAGTGCTGCTCGCCTGATCGCAGGCGACACCATGCATGCTTGTGCAGGGTTACTGAAAAGTGCAAAGTTTACAGCAGAGGAACCGTCCCGGAAGGTTCAGAACAAGTTGAAAACGACTTGGGGGACTGCTGTCTTTGTTTACAATGATGAGGTGGGTGCTGCCGCCCCTGGACTGTATGGAACTTTGTCGTCTCGTGCATACTGGGGAAAACGGGCTGCGGGGCAAATTGAAGATGTGGGGCCGAAACAAGCACCTTTTGGAAATCCTTTGCTACATGTTGACGCAGGTGACTTTGCCCAGCTCCGGCCAGTGCCGAAAGGGAGCCCTAGCCTCATGGAAGCATTTCTAATGTCTCGCAAAGAATATGCGAATGAAGGCCGCGTGCGGCCATTGACCGACATGGAGATGTTAGGCCTGAAAACTTTTGATTTGGTTGCGGAGACCTGCGTAGAGTTTAAAGGGACCTACCGATTCAAGGAAAACGATCCCTTGATCCGTCTGCTGCAGATTATGCGCACTGTCGGCGGCGCAGAAGTACCAGAGACATTGAGGCAACAAATCTTGAGTCGTATTCAATTGGGTGGCAAAGATCCACGAGCAAAGCTATTCTATAGATTCCCTAAATCGGTGCTTGGATCGGATGTTTTTTCAGACAATAACTTTTGCAACGGGATGCACAGTGCGGTGAACTGGGAGCAGGTTTCGCGGATGCAGCAAGTGTGGGCTGCCCGCAACGCCCGTGCTAGTCGGGGTCCGCAAGCTTTGCAAAATAGCCGTGCAGGAGAACCACAGTATTATTGGGAAACCTTTTGCCCGTATTTGAGTCGCGCGCATTGGAGAATGGCGCCGGTGTTCGAAAAATGTCTGGGAAGGCTATCGGCATCTCGTGGCCAACTTCTGTTCTTATCACAACGTGTTGACAGAGCACAAGCACAGCAACATGCTCATGACAAGGAGCCTTGGCTTTTTGTTGCATGCAATCTATTGTTTTCTGTTTCTAACCTTTTTTTTTGGTTGGGCGGTTGCGCCGGACGATCTGCAGGCTTTGCTACGCAGCGCTCTACGGCATGTGAACATGACTGATACAGGGAAGCTAGCAGGGCTTTGCCCTTTATATCTTGGAATGCCAGTGAAAGTAACTCACAAACTCTGTCCGCCAGAAGTGGTTCAGGAGGCAACAGGAGAAATATTACAGATTGGCTTCCACGAAGAAGAACGGTATGGTTTACCTCGTCAGTTGCACAGGCCTGGAGGTATGCCACACAAAGGGCATCCATGTTGGAGTAGGGGTTGGGTAAAGCTCGACATGGTTCCACGTTGGGTCGAGATTCGGCTTCATGGCTGCACTGCTGATTTTACGGGTACTGGCCGACCAGGCGTGTACTTGGTGAAGCCTACCAATGCTGACTGGGATTTGCAATACCAAGCAACTGCCATAGTCAACCATCCCAATGAAGTGCCGAAGCGCAAGAAAGTCCCTAGAATCAAGGTTGGCCTTCGAAGTTCTCAGCTACCCATAGCTCCAGCTGGGGTAGGAACCTTTAACAACATGCAAGGTAAAACGGCCAAAGATGAGAAATCAGTGCCAATGGGCCATACTATTGACCTGAAACTGCTGGATGGCAATGATGACAAGTGGTTGCACTACTACATGATTCTTGGAAGGGCCACGTCCCTCGCAACAACCTTGCTGTTAAATTTTCCGGAGGATGCAAATGGGGAACCAGATTGGACCATTTTTGAAAATGGCCCTCCCGAGTATTTGATCCATGTCTTTGCTGAATTGGAGAAACGATACGAAAAGACCCAAAAGCTTGTGACGCTGCGCCAAGCAGATCTGAAAATCTTTCCTTCTTTCGCTTGCCTGCCAGCTCGGCATAAAGGTCTGGGAAACGAATATGTGTACAACACTGCTGAGTGGGATGCTGCCGTGGCGCAGCGGTCGCAGAAGAGAAAACCGGACAGCAGCCACCGGAACTTAGCGGAACGTTTAGAGAGACGGGCAGAGGAGCCGCCGAGAAGAAAACGGAAATAGAGGTGGCAAGTCTTGACTGGAGAACCGAACGTATTCTGCTCAGCTGTGTGTCTTGCTGTTGAGCCTGAGCTTGGCTATGGAACGATGCTGAAAGATGCCGTAGAGCTACGGCGTCCTGAACTACATGTTTGCAATACATTCTGACTAAGGCCCAAAGCTGGCCTGAAAAAAAAGGCGTGCCGCCATGAAAAATGAAAACAGACTATTTGCTTGCCTGCAGGCAACTAGCAGCTTTCAATGAACTGTGGAGAAAGCAAAGCAAAACATAGCCGGTGCCATTGCCAGTTTCATGTCGTTGCGATGGTTGGGTCTGAAGGAAGAATCACAGTTTGCCTTTGTTGTTTGTCGAGGCTTTGAACATTGTTGATCATTCGAACTCTATCAGGATACTTGCGCATTCGAATTTTAGGTCGACATGTTGAGGCAAAGCGACAGCTTGGCAGAGGGAGGGAGGGAGGATGCCAAGAAAGACCTTAGCGTTGGTGAGTTTGACAAACAAGTTGATCACAATATGTGATTTCGACAGATTTCAGAGCATCGTGACTAATCATTGCGTGGAAATCAGACCATGCACTTAGATGTTCACATCAGTGTTCGTGCAGAGCACACTTGGCTCAGAATCGTGGCAATTTCATGATGTGGCTGACACACAGGAGTCGTTTTTAATTGCTTTGGAAGGGATCAATCTGTCCACAGGTCCAGGTGCACATGGGGATCAATGCACTGAGTGCTCCGCAGCAACTTTCGTTGCGTCCAAATCACGTCCGAATCGTTCTGACCACAAATGAGAGGACCGGTGGGGGCACACGGCAAGATGAATATGGCTTTCTGCAGGTTTGTTTCCTGGCTGGTCTTTCCTGTGCAATGGACCCTGGGATCTTGAACTAGGTTTCTGATCGCTAAGCCAATATTATCAATAGTATATCCGGGTGGTTCGTAGCCATTTGGTTCGCAAACTCCAGGAAGCGTGCCTGCCATGCTGAGACGGTATTTCAAACGTAGCACAGCCTTGCGAAATCTAAGGCTGCTAAGACGCTGCGCCAAATTTGCATGGCAAGTCCAACAATCTGAACTCAGCAGGGGAGCCAAAGTTGCTCAATGGCGGTTGGTTGCTCGGGGGCGTGGTAAGCCGGCCATAAAACCAGCGGAGGCCTACTGCTTAAAAAACGGCAGAATACATTTTGAAAGTTGGCTGAAGGCCAGAAAATTGCACAAATTCTTGACACCTGGTTTGGAAAGGAACGGCTACTTCCATTTTCTGAGCAAGAAGAAACCTGCTCCGGCCCACTGGCTGCGTGCATATCATGGAACGTGGTTCTATTCATTGGCCGCTATTGTGCGCATTGGCAGATTGCTGGAATCTCACAGCATTGACCTGGGGCACGAGTTTTGGCAACCTGGTGTTTACGTAAGCCCTCGCTGGGACACAGCGCGTTGGTATGCGAGAGGGCACAAACTATTCCCATTTGAGTGCGCATATCACCGCGTCATACTGGAGGTGAGGGTGAACTTTGAAAATGTGTTGCGTAATCGCTCAAGAGGTGGTGGTCAATGGGTGTTTCATTCAAAAGATGTCCACATCCATTCTGTCTGGGTGGAAGCCAATACAACCATCGAAAAAGGAGAAGAACGCTGTGACGAGTGGCGCCCTGAACTGGAGGTCAACCACCTGGCAATCAGGTGTTAATTTTTGGAGGTGATATGCATTGCATTAAAATCGGATGGATCGACTTCTGGCCAGCTTCCTTCTGCAAGTTCCTGGCTGTGACTGCGAACAAAAAATTGCGTTGTTTGCATGCCTCTATAGCCTCCAACCGAGAAGTGCTCATTGGCAGTTTCGAGAAACCCGGGTGAATACTTCGCTGTCTAGGCTTCGTCTGAGTAAAATTCCGACTCGTAGTTCTTGCTGAATGTTGCTTTCAGTCTAGCTTGTATCTTTTCCACCACAGTGTGGTGCATGCCGCATTTGCAGGACGGGAGCTGTATACCACGCGATGGTGCTGCTGCGACCAGAGGAGCAAGGGTGTCAGAATGATGTCAGAAATGCGTAGGCAAAGCGGCACCTGTTTTGGCAGAGGGAGGGAGGGAGGATGCCAAAAAAGATTTCCGTATGATAAGAATTTGACAGTGAAAGCATGCACATTGCTATGTGAATGTGCATGACCATCCAGTTTTTCACGGTCAGAACCGCGTAGGCAAAGCGGCTATAGGAGTGTGACAATGAAAACATGCAGGTTGCATTATGGATATGCATGACCACCCAGTTTTGCAGGAGCGTCGCACGTTCAAAGCTTCATTGCACACAGCATGTACGGCCACTGTTATCCGGGAGTCTGTTGAGGTTCAAGTACGCTGTGAGGGTGGAGTGCCAACTTTCAACTCGGTGTGGCCCTGCAGCTGCGGCACAATGCCAAAACTTCCCATGGAAGATGAGTCACTGCGCCTCAAGCCCTTCGTGCGACTTTGGTGCAATGCTGAAGCAGCAGAATCCAGATGGGAGCAAGTCCAGCGCATGGTGGATGCCCTCGAACTGGCATGTCGGACGGTGGTTACGCAGATGCATTGGGTTTCCTTTGCAGTTCTATGCTCCATGTTGACGCAGGTTCGATTGGAGGTGCCAGGGGTCGAATCCCCATATCGTGCTGACCAATGGATCACATCATCACCTTACCCTCCGACAGTGCTCACCTATACCAGATCCATGACTGCAGCCAAGGCCATGGCCTGGATCCAAGACCTAGACGCCGCTGTTATATTGCTGCAAGATTGGGCATTTGCTGCCTCAGACCTGTTGGATGAAGAGATGCGATTCTTTCTACGCTCTGTGAAAGCAGCACTTGCTGATTTCACATTGCTAGTCAGAGCAGGAAGTCTTTCCTCAGCGAGACGTCCATTTGTGCCGCTCCACGAACTGGTTGATGTATGAGGGCTACCGCCGATTCCAGTTAGCACATCCACCATTTAGGTTGAGTGTAACATCTCAACCGGTCTTTTTGATTTCATCCACGAGTGGATGGCCCCGCCTGGCCGTATGGAGCAGTCTGCACCGCAGTGGTCAAAACAGGATGATAACTGCAAAGGGTATGGGAACACATGGGGAACTGTCTTGTCCTCCGAGCCACATCTTTTCTGTGCACTCATTGGACATGGGTGCGTTGCCTCTGGACCGCATGTCATGAGTGATCATTGGCTTGCCACGACATGATGTTTTTGCTTACTTTGCTTTGCCTCATTTGAATGCACAGGTTTTGATTCGATTGATATATCATTCATGGAGCCGCGAAAAAAATGATGCAGCGCCAAAAGACCAACAAAGGGGAGGAAGGTGCACAAGAACTGGTTGAACTTTCTTGAGACATCATGAACACTGCTATGTCTACATTCACCACAGCTATGTCTACATTCTTCTAGTCGCTATTTCTGGTACGGGGGAGTCCCCATGTCATTGCTGAGTTGGCGGTTTCTGGCATTTTTCATTTAGATTTGCTCGTAGGAGCGGCTTGCACCATGCCAAGGACTTCTGTCGAGTTGTTTGAATGCATGTGTTGAAGATATTGTGGAAGGCGCTCATAGAAATTGTCGGGGATGGAATGCGCTCTTGCATCTATGCAAGCCCAATGGGAGGGAGGGAGGGTCTCTAAAAGAAAACATATATATTCTTGCCTAATATGGTTTCACCCTTTTAATTTATAACAGTAGAAGTGTTCCTGCAGACCACGTGGGATTGTTTGAAGATGGCTTTGAACATGTTGTTGCTGCTGAGGACGTGATGCTCACATGCAGCGGCACTCATGCAGTGGTTCATGTTCCGCATTCAAGACGTGGCATGCTTGGGTTTGATCCCATTTACGGAATAAAAAATGCGAACCCGAGGATGAACCTGAAGCGAAACATTTCCATAAAAACATAGCCATGCACGTGGAAATAAATAGTTACATATGTATATATATAACATGTTTTTTATGTCTCTATATATATATATATATATAGATATATAAATATGAATTTATATTCTATATAGAACTAAGCAGTATTAATTCTGTTTTATTTGTAGATATGTTTCAGTGTTGTTTGTCTTTGTGGCTGTTTCCGCCGGTCTTTGAAATGAGACCAAAAACCACCAGTGTTCACATCACTGTTCGTGCAGAGCACAGTTAGCCCAGAATCGTTGCAATTTCGTCATATGGTTGACACGCACCAATCGTTTTCAGTTGCTTTGGAGGTTGGCATGGCTCCATTCGCCATATGCATGAAATGATCAACCAATGGATGTTTGGAAGGGATCAATCTATCCACGGATGCACATGAGGACCAATGCAATGATTGATCCACAGCAACTGGAAAGACGTCCAAATTGCGTCGTAGGCTTGAGCTCACAGTGCTGTTCCCGACATGCAGGAAAAAATGGTTTGCTCTGTGCCGTTTTGCTTTTGGGTTCTCTGGCCCACCTTGTTTTTTCAGCCTCGACGGTCTGCCCGGCGCAGCCCTGGGTCCGCGAGCGGGTTGGGCCGGGTCGCGCGGGTGAGAGCTGACGTGCGTGAGTAGTGCAGAATCAATTCTGCCACCGAATCTTCAGGAACAGTTACAGATACAGCATCAGTTCGACCTTGCGAGTCAGTTCCCAGCGTCTGTGGCTGGACGGTCCAGGCAGAGACCCTGGGTTTCCTGTGTTTGCTCTGCGTCAAGGTTTGATGCAATCGAGGCACGTGGATAACGGTTTGCGGTGTCACTGCAGACCGGATGCAGACTCTTGCGGTATAACAGCTGTCGGAGCACTGGAAAGCATGCATGCAGTCTGCCAGAATGGTATCACTACAGGCAGACTGGATAGAAACTGTTTCTGGATTTTCATCTACTCCTTTTTGGTCTCGGACGTACTTACAAACTGGGAGTTGAGAACAAAGACTATATGCTCTTTATCGATTGACGCGCCGTGCGAAGATACATTTGATGCTAAGTCCTCCTTCCATAACTGCTGAATGCTTTTGGCAAATGCCATG